TTACTGATTCCCAAACCTGGTCCAAATCCGACGAAGAAAAAGCCCAACTATTTGGTCAACATCTCTTCCAAACTTTTAACCCACATCCCGATATCCTTAATTCAACTCACATCAATTGTATTGAGGCAGAACTGGATATTCCTCTCCAAATGTCTCTGCCACCCAAAGCATTTCATCCCATGGAAATATCCAACATCATTCAAAAATTGCCTTCCCGTAAAGCTCCTGGACATGATCTAATTACATCCCAGATCCTAAAACTTCTTCCTCGAAAAGCCATCCTATTCCTTACTTACATATATAATGCTGTACTCCGTTCTACATATTTTCCTGATCCTTGGAAACGATCTATTGTTAAAATGATCCACAAACCCAAAAAACCACCAGAATACCCATCCTCTTACCGTCCTATCTCTCTTTTACCCATCATGGGCAAGATCCTAGAAAAACTCATCTTAAAACGCCTGTACCCTATCCTAAATTCTAAACACATAATCCCAGATCACCAATTTGGTTTCCGAACTTCCCATTCCACTATACAGCAATGTCATCGTGTGGTAGACGTAGTATCCTCTGCATTGGAGCGCGGAATGTACTGTACGGGAGTCTTTCTCGACGTTGAACAGGCGTTTGATAGAGTTTGGCACCCGGGACTGCTGTACAAACTCCGAAAATTCCTACCACCTACATACTTCCTCATTATCCGTTCTTACCTTACTGATAGATACTTTAAAGTAAATCACAATAACGCCTATTCATCCCTTTTTTCCCAGTCCGCTGGTGTTCCTCAAGGTAGTATCCTAGGTCCTATCCTCTATACAGTTTATACAGCTGACATCCCAACCCATCCCAACACTGTCATTACCACATATGCCGATGACACATGTATCCTATCAGTAAACAATGACCCAGCAATTGCATCCCAAATGCTTCAATCACACATCATAAATCTAGAAGAATGGTGTCAAAACTGGAGAATTAAAATAAACTCCAATAAATCTCACCAAATTACCTTTACCCTTCGTCGTAAACCAACGACTTCCTGTCCTACAGTTTCCTTTAACAATACTCCACTTATCCCTGTTGAGCAAATCCGATACCTAGGACTCCACCTGGACAAACGACTAACTTGGAATCCTCATACTAGACTGAAACGACAAGAAACTGCTCGACGTTTCCGATTACTTCAGCACTTACTAGACAAACGCTCTAAACTTCCCATTAATTACAAAAGACTCATATACTTGACTATAATAAGACCTATTTGGACTTACGGAGTTGAGCTATGGGGCTCCACTAAACCATCGAATTCCTCTCGCATCCAATCCTTACAATCCAAAATCCTTCGTAAAATCCTCAATGCTCCTTACTTTGTCACTAATAAAATTATCCATAAAGATCTTAATGTTCCTTATGTTTCAGATCTGGCCCAATCCAGATACCTATCCTTCCATAATAAACTTCAGAATCATCCCAACCCTCTCGTTTCTAACCTTGCTTCCTCTTCAATTCCTGATAACCCTCCGAGGCGTCTGAAAAGAAGATGGCCCCGTGATCTCCTAATGTAGTCATATCATTAGAGTGCTACCATTGGGTAGTTACTCAGCAAGTGTATTCATGTCATTATATCAATTATGTCCAAATTTACTTGATGTATTTATGTAATACAGTTGTAAATGTCATAAAGAAATAAAAAAAATAAAAAAAAAATAAAAAAAAATTTTCCGACATTTCTCCCACAGACCTGTTAACCGCGGTAATGAAATCCCACACCAATTCCATAGGGCCAGACGGCATTCCTGTCAAATTAATAAAAATATGTCTACCTGAAATCCTCCCAGCTCTCCTTTTTATCTACAATTTCTCCCTTCAGAATTCAGTATTCCCTACCTCTTGGAAAAAAGCCTTCGTCCTTCCTTTAAATAAAAAGCCTAATCTATCCTCACCCGAAGATTTCCGTCCAATTTCAGTTCTTTCTAACCTCTCAAAGCCTCATGAAAGACTGGTGCAATCCCAAGTCTCCAAGTTCCTCGAAAAGTCCAACCAATTTGATCCTCTCCAATCTGGTTTCCGTCTCGGCTATTCCACACAATCTGCCTTAATTAAAATTACCAACGACATTCAATCTGCAATACATGATAGAAAATTAACTGTCCTTATTCTTCTAGACTTCTCCAAAGCTTTCGATTCCATCAACCATTCCATCCTCTTCAACAAACTAAAATCATTATCTTTCTCCAATAGTTCCATCTCTTGGTTCCAATCTTTCCTCTCCCAACGCACCCAAGCAGTCTCCATACCCAACCAACCACTATTTGCTTTCCTTTCTTTATCCTCTGGAGTTGCCCAGGGTTCAAGCATATCTCCTCTCCTTTTCAGCTCCTACATTAACGACCTACCTAAATCAATTCTCCATTATTCCCATCACCTTTATGCAGATGATTCCCAGATCTACCTATCCTTTTCTCCCTCTGAGTTACTGGGGGCATTTGCCAAGATTCAAGAAGACCTTGATCGAATCAATGCCTGGGCAAATGTAAATGGATTAAAGTTAAATGCTGCCAAAACTAAGGCCATCGTCATTGGTTCCAAGCCCCTCATTAGATCCCATACTGACTTTCCCATATTACACCTTAATGACCAGCCAATTTCCTTCTACTCCTCTGTTAAAAATTTAGGATTTTTCATAGATCAAACCCTCTCCTGGACCTACCATATTTCTCACATTTCCCGTCGGACAATCTCTACCCTTAAACTATTTCATCGCTTCCGCCATCTCCTACCTCAACATATCCGTAGACTCCTAATTTCCTCTCTCATCTTCCCCCACTTGGCTACAGCTGTGTGGTGTATGATGGCCTCTCGGTGGAGCTTCGTGATAGACTGAAAAGATTAATGAATAGCTGCGTAAGATTTGTTATTGGTGCCCCGAGGTACTCCCATGTCTCTCACCACTACACTGAGTTAAGGTGGCTCTTCCCCTCCTTTCGAAGACAATACTTTCTAGGTACGTTCCTCTACCAAATCATCAACAACCATCGTCCTTCTTACGCCTACAACCTTCTCCAGTTCAAATCCTCAGTCCATTCCCTGTCCACAAGATCTCGACCTTCTGACCTTTACATGCCTTCTCACAGATCTTCCTCATTCCAAAATTCCTTTATTGTTCGCTCTGTCAATTTCTGGAATTCCCTCCCTATCAAAATTCGACATTCCCCCTCCATATCCACATTCAAATCCCTCCTATTCCAATTCCTATCACAAAAACAGTCAGATACTTGCTAACCATTCGAGCGGATTTTAATAGAGAATTTGATACATTTTTATTTTTTAATTCTTTATTTTTTTCGGAAAAGTGTATACTGGTCTATAAGAGCGAATAGCTTTAAGTTTCTTGTCATAGTATTAATGGTTTTGTATATAGTTTAGTTTGTTTTGTATATAGAATTTTTACCTTATATTTTTTTTACATTATTTCTTTTTTTCGATTTATTTTATTTTGGCCAGATGTAATATTTTAATTTTGTTCTATTTTGTTATTCTCAAGGGACTGTGTCCCAGAATAAAGTTATTTTTCTATCTATTTCTATCTATCTATTAAAGGGTATTGAAATTTTTACACTGATCTACCTTAAGCCAGTTTACATTGCTTGAGTTTATCAAATAAATCGTACTCAAATCTTTTCTTTGATCAATTTTCAGTTAAATAAATCGAATTCAATTTATTTTTGTTTCTTGATGGAAATATGTAAAGATATAAAAAATTTTCTGAAATAGGCAGGAAAGTCGTGTAAGTGGACACACCAAATTTTTTTTTTTTTTCCTGTTGGTCAGTCAGATTCTCCCTATTTTCCCCTCAAAATGAACTTAAAAATCACTTCCGTCCAAATTTATATAAAATACACAATATTATATGTACCTACTTGTTTTATGTCCGTTTTACTTATAGTATTAAAAAATAGATAAAACTGTGTCCAAAATAGGCTTTGGTTGTTAAATTATGTCCCTTTTTTTCTGCTCTTAAAATTGGAGTTTCCCTAAGAAGGGGACTTTTTCACCAAAGTGAAGACCCTGCTAATAACATAAAATTTTGAATGTGTAATAATTATAGATTAAATATTTAGATATAGATACACATTAGAAATAAATGTAATTAATAAAAAAGAAGGGTTATAAAATTTACTCTTAACAATGCATGCATTTTATATAGGCGAAACATGACTTAATAAAAGAAATAATAACATAAATTATTGTTAATAATTACTTGTTATAGCAATGGCAAAACTATTATTATTAACAAGTACTCACTTATAATAATAATAATTTGTAGTTTAATTATAATAAACTTTTAATTTTCGCTGAAATCAATAAAGTCAATTATCTATGTATATATATATATAATAAATCTGTATGTATAAAATAAACTAATATACATAAGTCTGTATAAGTCTGTATATATATATATATATATATATATATATATATATATATATATATATATTCACATTTTGCGAACCATTTGCCTCACATTTTACTATGAACATTCGCTCCAATGTTTAGGCCATCGTGTAGCACCACCTTTAAATAGATAATTATAGTGTCATAAGGCACTTTATTTGTGTGCTAATCTGTAGACATAAACATACATCATTTTTCGATACTTGGTTAATTTAGGGGATGATCCAGGGGACCTCAAAACATGTATTTCTATTGAAAATTCAGAATCAAAATTTAATATATATATATATATATATATATATATATGAAAATAAAGATAAATAAATAAATAGAAACTTTTAAAAGGTACAGAAAAAGACAAACCCAAAGTTTGGCTATTTTCACCCTGGTTGAGAGTAACCATTCAGTGAATTATTGTTCTCAAGCTTAAGAAATATCAACACTTAAAACTAAAACATCTTATGAACCACTTATAAAATATCTTATTATCCACTAGGGTGAATGTGAAATATTGTAAAAGAACCTATTTTTTTTTAATATAGGTGATGAAGTCAAAAAGCCTTGGAAAACTATTCCAAAAAGTATTATTAATGCTACTATTCTGGTTGTGGTTATATATGTCGTGTTAACACTGCTTTTGATATCTATCATGTCTGAAAACACAGTTTTAAAAGTATATATGTTATTGCTTTTATTTTAAGTTCTTCAATGTTTTAATATTCTATGACTTATAATTATTTTTTTTTTTTTTTAGGATGATACTTATTTATGTCCACTTTCTAATATTTTGGAAAGTCATGGTTATTTGGTATTGTCATGGTTCAGTAATCTAGGGACCATTCTTAGCCTATGGGGAGGGTATGTGAAACTATTATTATTATTAATGCTTCATTGAATATATATAAATTATAAATTTCACAAAATGTACAATTTAATAAGAATCCTAATCTTAGCTATACCAACAGCCTAATGATACTATTTACAAAGATGTATACACACACAATATATTTACAAGTTATCCAGTTCGAGTTACCTAACAATGTTTTCGCCAGGATCCTCTAGCTCAATGGAAGGGACGCTAATATAAAACTCTTTTTTATCCTCTGGAATAGGATAAAGACTATCATCTCTCACTATAACCTGCCCTAACAAAATCATACCCAGTAAGTTCATGGGACGACTCCTTATACAATCCTGCTCCTTCCTACTCCAGTCTTTGAACTTTTCTAACTCATCTTTTAAACATGGAGTTTTCTTCCATAGAATCAAAGGCATTTTTGAACTAAAAGAACTATCATACTTTTCTTTGCTGTACCTCACCCCTCTGAACTCGATTCGAAACCCGAAAAATTTCTTCCTGGTATCTACAAGATTAACTGGATGGATCTGTACAGGGTCCTCTGCTGTCACTGATTTTTCTTCGAGGATTTCTTTCCTCTTCTCGAGAGATTACCCGATCCATTATCAATTGGAGAAGCGGACGGTTGCTGAAGAGCTGAGCAAAATCAATTCTCTAATTGATAATGGATTAAGAAATCTCTCGAGAAGAGGGGAAGAAATCCTTGAAGAAAAACTAGTCACAGCAGAGGCGCCTATAGAGATCCATCCAGTTAATGTTGTGGATACCATAGAAGAAACTTCTCGGGTTTTGAATCGAGTTCAGAGGGGTGAGATACAGCAAAGAAAAGTATGATGCCTTTGATTCTAGGTAAGATAACTCCACGTTTAAAAGATGAGTTAGGAAACTTCGAAGACTGGAGTAGGGAAAGAGCAGGATTATATGAGGAGTCGTTCCGAGGACTTACTGGGTATGAGGAGACATATGTAAAGTATATTGTTGTTTCTCTCCTTAGGAGGGAGTGGTGTTGTGGACTATCCACTATTATATGTGTTTGGAAAGTTGATTATGGCAACACTATTTTTGGCTAGAGGAGGCCAACTCAGTGTAGGAGCAAGCATGGAGGTTATATGTGATGTACATTATGTTAATACTTTAAAAGTAATGAAGTTCTCTACCCCTGATCATAGTTTTATTCTATTAATGAACCTCAGTAAGAAGATAAAACCTACCATGTAGATGAAAATTGTCCTAAACTAGAGATAGCAATTATAATAAAAGAGTCATTATTTTACAGGTGTAGATTGGTGTAAATTATCAAATATGAATGGCTTTGTTTATTTGTTCAATGTTCAATAATAATGTTGAATAGTATTATCAATGAGAAATCAACCTAACATTTTACTATCTTATACCTTAAATTACCATTTTTAGTGTACCTTGTTGAGTTCATAGACTCATACTAAATGATAACCAATACAATGATGTAATTCTAAAACCAAAACATGATTTTTTTTTAGCTTATATTTATTTTTTATATTCAAGTAATTTTTAATTACAGAGCATTTGCCATGATTTTTAATCTTTCACGGATATTATATTCAATGTCAAGAGACGGACTGTTATTTCCTTTCCTTTCTAGAGTGTCATGGATATCCCACACACCAGTGGTGAACACTATGTTTTGTGGGGCTACTTTGTGTAAGCTTCAGTTTTCTACTACTCTTTTATTTAAAAAAAAAAATACATGACTTTTTAGATTATGCTTATTTAAGAAAATATATATTTTCTAGCTTTTACAAAGATGGGCCTCGTAGAAAAAATATTATTTTTAAACCATTATGTACATTATTACTTTCTCAAAAATTATAAAATATTATTTTATTTAGTTTTAATTGAAAGGAGATTTGGGCTCAAGGCGAATTGTGTTTAATCCTAACACTTGTAATAATTAATTTAAGTTGCTTAATGACTAGAAATAGTCATTTAAGCTGTAGTGACATTTTATAGTTAAAAAATATTCAATAGTTTTAAAACGTCAAGTATTTCAAACACAAAAATATAAGTATAACATTATTTTTTTTTTCTCTAAAATACAAGTAACAACAAATAAATTTAAAAATAAAGTATCAATTTATGATAATTTGTAACTCCTTTATAATTGGAACATACTATATATTTTTTATATTGGATAACTTATTTAAGATCAATCCAACCATTTATTACTTTTTATTTCCAGAAAAACACTTGAAAATATTACTTCAAAGAAAATTTGATTTTTTTTCCTCCACCAACTATCTGTTTGTTGTCTACATTTACGCAATTCAAAAATGCATACATCACAACTAGCTGCCTTTGCAATTATTTCGTTCAAAAATCAACCTCTTTTTTTTTTAACATAGAGTAAGAGGTTATTAGCAGATTTGGGAAGGAGGAAGAGGGGGGCGCCAAAAATCCACGCGACGGTCCTGGCCATAATGTGTAATGAAAGGCACTTGAGGGTCAGGGTGGCCGAGCGGGCTAATGCGTGTGCACATTACCGCGCGTTGTCCGTAAACCTGTTAACTGAAATTATAAATGAAAAATTAATTACGAGTTCGAATCCCGGTGAGGGTCTTTTAACTCTGGAATGAATCCCCCGCCCTCACCTTCAGGCTTGGTAAAACCCCGTATAATGGGAGGAAAAAACACCCGACTACTACACCAAATTTAAAAATAGGTAGATATCAATTTTCCTCACAATCTACCAAGATCTTCAAGTCAATTTTTTTTATCTTAAAGTTATTTCTCAATAGACTTTATTTTTTCATTAAAATTGATTATTATTTAATCGTGTCTTTTTCTCAGCGATACTTGGAACGTTTGTTATAATAAATTACAATGCTGCTGCTTTCAGCCTTCTTCTTGAAAAAATTATCATCCCTGTCTGTCTACTTGTAACACGGTAAGGAATTATTTGTAAAATAATCTATTATCTATAACAATACAAAGTATTTCTACACCATTTTTCTAGATAAATTATATTTCCTGCCAGACAAATCAAGCATTTTGCCTGGCAACTCTAATTCCTTCTCGATAAAAGTTCCCTTTTTATGTCAACCGAATTGTTCTTTTTTCCAGTTTGATTAATTTTTTCCTAATCAGAAAAAACTTTTTCCTCACTCAAGTCCTACTTAAAATAAATCATATTAAATTATTTTAGCTTATCTTTTGAGTAAAAAACTGAAATTCGTGTAAAATAAACATAGTACATGGGTGGAGAAAAGGTTCTATATGCATATATACAATTATACCAGGATTTTTTTTAATATACCAAAAAATAAAATTTTAACATATATCGACAAACTAAAGGTCAATATTTTTATTTTTTAAAGAATAGGGATGTGAATAGCGAAATAAGAATAAAAAATCTGGTTCGCGCAACAAACAACTTTCACTTACCACTTAACTTCAAATAGAAATTATTTTCTGGCCATATTGGGCTATTACAAAATTTTTGAATTGCATTTTTAACCGAGCTAAAGCTAAAACTTTACAGCTAAGAAATCATAAATACCATTAAAATAACTAAAGTCTTATTTATTATATCACCGGATGATTATGAGTTGTACGATCCGTTGATTATGGATTGGACGATCCGTTGAGTACTATGAAATAGTTTCTTTTAGCTATGCCATTGCCTTGATCAGGTGGATTTTAAATACTTTTTACAAACTTTTTTTTTTTTATTAATACTAAACATAAAATTGGACATACAAGAATTAAATTTGCGATCTACAAATTTCTTTGCAATGAGCAAATTTTTTGGCAGCTTCACAGCGTTCCATTACAATCCAGGAAATAGTTCGGAAGTAGTGAAAGTTGTTGCAGTTTATTTTTGCAGTGTCTGAAATTGTTGGGATGTTTAAGTCCGTATGTAATCTATCGTTTGTGACATAAAATGGTGTGTCAACTATTCTTCGTAAAATTTTGGATTGGAAAGGCTGGATTTTTTTAATATTAGAGGTTTTAGCAGAACCCCACAGTTCTATGCCATAAGTCCAAATTGGTTTTAATAAAACTTTATAGAGGGTTAGTTTGTTAGTCAAAGGTAATTTTGAACGTCTGTCAAGTAACCTAGATAAAAGACCATATCGTATATTTTTACAAACTTAAAAATATTTTTTAAAGTTTACATTTAGTTAGTAAATTTCATTTAATTTCCTTGAAAACATGTGATTTACGTTAAATATTATCAGATCTCAAAAATTAGTATTTATGATTATTTCGCCACTCTCCGTTACCTTCTATAACTTTTTATATTAGATATTGTTTTTTCTAAAATTCGCTGTTTTCCAACGATATATTATAAGTATATCTTCTGACTTGTATTTCCGGAGATTCATTTTCGACCTGTATAAGCATTTTTATTTTTTCTCCTTTATTCAATTATCAAATTCTTTCAAAAGTTATATTTAGAATTTTTTTGTAACTTTTAATAGTGAGAGATAGTTGATTATTTAAAATAAACCATATTAAAGGTACTTTAGAGAAAGACGCATATGAACATTGGGCATTTAAGCCCTGTAAAGCGATATCAACGGGAATAAGACCTAAATGATATTAAAGACCACTTAATTATACAATAATACACCGAATTTGACCAAAATCGTTGGAGCCGTTTTTTAGAAAATTGTAACAATGTGTTCAGCATTGATATAAAGTTTCACTTCTGGTTTGCCGATTTTAAGGGAAAAGTTTCCAGGGCATCTAAGTCATATATCTATCTTAAATATGTAATATCTGTTTCGTACGACTTTCCGGTTTCGAGCTAGAGTGTTCACAAACACAGAGACACACAGACCATTTTTCGGGTCTTATTATTTGGACTCAGGGGATCTCTGCACTTCACAGGAAATCAAGACAACAATTGGAATCCGGCAAGGTTGTAGTCTTAGTCCACTTTTGTTTATACTAGTGATGGACTCAGCAATACGAAGGGCTAAAGGAAAAATGCCGAAATTTCACCTGGGATATGCCAACCTGAGATCGGTGAGCCTCTCAATACTTGCATTCGCTGATGACATTGCTATTTTTTCGGACAGTTACAGGAATCTTCAGTATAATATTAATAGATTAAAAGAAGAATTGCAGAAGATTAATTATGATTATCAACCCTGTAAAAACGAAAGTAATGAGGGTTGGAAAGGAGCCTAGGAGAAATATGCGCGTCATCAGAGTCGAAGACAGAATCCTCGAGCAGGTAGAAAACTTCAAATACTTGGGCGCACACCTTAATGAAAATGGATGCATCGATTCAGAGGTGACTCAGCGAATCGCTGCTGCGAGCAGGATGTTTGAGGCAGTTAAGAAAGGTTTTCTAAACAGGCGTGAATTGGAAAAGAAAACAAAGTTAACTGTTTTCAGATCGACATTTCTTCCCATTTTAACGTACTCTTCAGAATCATGGACGCTGACAAAAAAATATCGATCAAGGATACAAGCGTCAGAAATGCGATTCCTCCGAAAGATTGAGGGGGAAACGAGAAGAGATAGAGTACATAACACCACCATCAGGTCGAACCTCAATATTAAGCCGGCCAATGATGTGAATTGAGGAGAATCGACTGAGATGGCTAGGACATCTTCTGCGGATGGAACCGAACAGAATAGCTAGCGAAAACTATCGATCTAAAGTAGATAGCAAGAGAGGAAGAGGACGGCCTAGAAGGAAATGGGAAGATGAAGTAAAGAGCGATTTCCAGAGAAGAGGTCTTCAATGGAACGATAGAAGACGTCTTGTTGAAGACCGGCAGAGCTGGAAAAGGCTCTATAAACTTCCTCCTCACACTGATTGATGCGGTTCAAGAGGATAGATTATGATAATGATGAACTCAGATTAAAAAATTTTCACGATCGCAATACTTACACTTACTGTATATTACGTATATAAGTAAGTGAAAGTTAAAAATATACATATTTATTTTTATTTCCTTTGTTTGAGCAAAGCAAAGTCAAAGATAACATATAACATAAATATAGAGGAAATAGTAGGAAGTAATTGTAAAACTGTATAGGTAAAAAAGTATAGTCAAATAATATGTTGGTCATTAAACATAACATTAATAAATATGTGGAATGGTAAATATATGATATATAAATCAAGGAAATCAAGGAAGTGAACAGTGACAAATCTGGAACTAAAGTCAAGTTATATAAGATAATGGTAACAAAGTTAGAGATATATGAAAGAATGGAACAAACTTAGGCAGTTATAACCTAAATGAAATAAAGTAAAAATGTAAATAATGATAAAAACATTGTGCCTATTTTATAATATGTAATTTTATTTTAATGTAAAATGTCTCAGAATCATCTTTGTTATGGACAGTATAAATTATAACACCATAAGCATCTAAGTTGATTTATCATTAAATAAAAGATTTATGAAGAAGTAGTATATCAGCTATTTCATCTTACCTTTATTTAATGCAGATATAGATGTGAACAAAAGGAAGAAGAGAACAAAGAGACTTGTAATAATTGGTTATTATTTAACTATCCCAATAGTAGAACAAGGCCAACTATAGTTACTGAAAGAATTAGTCGACTCCTCATTTATCTCATAGGTAACAATATTGGATCATTCTCATTAATTAACTATTAGTATTTTAGGATTACTAATATATCTGTTTAGTCATATGACTTTTCTTTATGATGTTCCATTTTTCTTTTGGTTCTGAAAAGATACTCTGGGCCAATCATTGACTATAATTTCTGATCTAACTTTGATCTAAACAGTTCAGAGAACAAAAGTATTGTGCAGAAGGTTCTTTTATTGCTTTTAGCTAGTTCCTGATAAGCTAACTTTGTTCTTCCTCTTCTATCTGTTGAATTGAATAAAAAGACTCCATTTCAGGAGTTGACATCTGGATACATTTCATATTTCTTTACATAGTGGATATATATTCTTTTATATTGCTTACAATTTGCCATCTTGATCAATAATACTGCATGATGATTTTACTGTTACAGATTCATCACCTTGAAGTTTGAGACATTTGGTAATAATAGCTGCCATGCTTTTTCTCTCTATGCTAGTCAAGGGTGTGTTTCTCTGCTTCTTTTTTATCTATCTTCAATATATAATTAAACATGGAGTATTCTTTGACCATTTTGTCAATCAATCATAAGATTCTTCCCTTCTTCCAATCTCTGCCCCGCTGCTCCTCTTGCTCTTCCAAATTCAATATGCATTATAGGTAATGCAGGACTTGCTAACAGGTCACAATCCGAGAGGATAAGCCTCATAATGCCTGTCTTTCTTCACCAATCTTTCCCACGACCTAACCCATTTAGCTGCCATTCCTCTTGGCCTTTTCTAACCTCTCTACTGGTTTAATCGTGAATCCAGTTATACCTATCCTTTCCAGTAATTCTTCTTATTAACCTGATTTCTGCTGCTATAATTTTAATTTATATTTATCAAAAGTAGTCGATCTCTCCAATCCATACAACAGTACTGAGTGTAAAATGGGACCAAGAGTTGGAATTCAGCTTCCTTGCTAATCTCTTGCTTGCCAACTGATGTAGTAAATAGTTCACTTTCCTCATGCAATTCGCTATCTCTTGGTTGATCATCGACATATATTGTGATTCAAAAACCTCAATATTCAAACTGTCTACAGCTTATAACTGGTTATGGTCATGTGTAAGATCTAGTTCACCATTGTAAGTATTAGAAGAACCGGAAAGTAATGTCGTTTGATGTCACTATTCGATTGTCATTTGGCAGCTCATTGTGCATGCATCTAATGTTGAGGCAAATAACTATGTTCAGAAAAAAAATAAAACCAAAAAATCTTTACTAAATTTAACATGAGGCAGCATACGAAATTTTTTTCAGTAGACTGCATTAACGCACTATTGAGAAATATGCAAAAACTAATTCACTCACCATTTCTGCTGGCATAGGCAATTTCTTATTTGGCGATAGGAGCCTCTTCACCGCTTCGTTTCTACTAGTAAGTTTTTCTATGAGGAGCGTCTTTACTGGAGTGGGACGAACTCAAGTCCTGAGGTGGGTTGCTCCCGGTTATTCGTGTTTTTGCAAACTACAGCTAGGTAGCATGCAACTGCAAGTATGTATTTAAAAAAACATCTATGTCGTAGCAAATACATTCTAAGGTTATAGTGACTTCTTTAGTTGCAAATAATTAAATTAATTTTTTTTGCAATTTTGCAAGCTTTTTGAGTACCGCAATAGTTACTACCAACAACATTTGCGATGTTTATTCAAGTGCATTAGTCGTTCGTAAAAACATTTAGCTTAACAAAAAGGTTGTTTTGCAATTTCGAAACCGGTAATTTTGATCTTTCCGACATTTATCGATCAGGAAGGCCAACAACTTTAGACAATGACGTATTAAAGTCTTTCAAACAGTCTTAACCAAAGTTGGTCGACGATCTACTAATCTACTACATGCAACTTATTGCTTTAACGACACAATACATGAGCGTTTTTTTTTATTGCTTGATCAGCGAAAATGAAAAATAGGTTCCCTATAATAAACCAAAACGCAAAAGATAGTGGCTCCATCCAAATCCAGCTTTGCTCATTTTGAATTGCTGAACCTGGACAAACTGTGAATGCAGACCTTTAATGTGAACAAATGGATCGTGTAAATCAATCTATAATTGAAAAATAGCCAACAATTGCCAACAGAACAGGCGTTATTTTAGGATATTATTTGTAATAAATCAAAAACCAGAGGATTACATATTGGCAAGATGTCTACAATCTACAATCTAGAAGAAACACAAAAGTAACTTATTGCATTTTACCATCTGATCATAGATACATTAGTGTAGGTTGGATAACAAAAGAAAATGTTTATCTAAGTCAGTATTTTACACAATATTATTATTATTATATTTATTGAATTTACTATTATAATAATTTTTAGTCATTTTACAGTTTTGAGTGCTATTTCTTCAGTGTACTGTATTCTGATGATGTTTGCAAAGGATGCAGGGTTGTATGTCAGAGTCTTGGCGTTATTCAGTGTTTTCTTTCTTATAATCTTCATCGTCTGTCTCCATTGTCAGCCCCAGAATAACAGAACACAATTATCCGTCAGAGTAAATTTCTAATTACTATTTTTCTATACCTATATATGAATATATATATATATATATATATATATATATATATATATATATATATATATATATATATATATGAATCCCAATAGAATTCAAAACTTAATTCTTACATTTTTCATTCGTCCCTGTTTGGGCGCCAAATTTTATGGGGGTTTTCAGACGCTTTTGATTATAATCCGTTATATAGACCACTTATATAGACCATTTATCAAATTGTTAACATCCTCCTAAAACTTCGTGAATAGCTTCATCTCATCATAACCAACAAATATTTTATTTACGAATATTCTCGGAATTGGGGCGTTTTCAATATGGAGATCGGCAAACTTTGTCTAATTAATTAAGCACTAAAAACTCATGAATTCCCATTTTCTTTACATTTGAATCGTAAGTAATATGATCACAAAATCGAAATAAAAGGTGACCATCAAAAATATTTGGCCGTTAGGCATATATAATCTCGTTATTTAAACATTTTTGAGGTGGAGGTCACGCCAAACGGCCCAATATTTTTGTAGGTCACTTTTGTTTTCGATTTTGCGAACATATTATCTTAAGATTTAAGTGGAAAGCAAATGGCTACTCATGAGTTTTTAGTACCTAATTAAATAGAGAAAGTTTACCAATCTCCAGACTGAAAACACCCTAATTCCTAGAATTTTTGTAAATAGAATATTTGTTTCACGAAGTTTTTGGCAGATGTTAATAATTTTATAAAAAGAGGTCAGTACGACAACTATAAATAGCAATAATAATAAATTTAACTATATATTGATTATTTGTATTAAACATTTATAATTTTTACTGAATTCATTTACAATGATACTTGGTAATTACAAAATATACATAAAATAAATTCATGGAGATAAAACACTTGATAAAATTATTTGCAAATAATGTAACCTTGTACTGATACTGAATGGATAACTCACTGTAGAACTCACTCTTGACCTAAAGTTGGACTTAATTTGAACAGGAGACTAACCCTGACCTCACAGTTTATATAACATAGGCCAAAATTGAGCCCTTTTGATACATTGAATGTTCTGCAACATCTTTAATTCAGTACTATCTGAACTTCTTTTTTAAAACTCGCTATTTTTATAATTAAATTTATGTTATTAAAATTATACTTCTTCAAATTATGTAAATCATTATTGTTAATTTAGAACTCCATATTAAAAAATTAATAATTTTATATTGATAAAAGTTAAATAGTTTTAATATTTTAAAAATCAGATAAATGTTTTATTTTAACTGCCTTCAAAATATTTGGATTGAATCCATGAATGGAACTGAATCACTTGAATATAAGTCAATCTTTGTTATGTATGGATTCAATAATTTTCTAAAAATATTGTGGAAATATTTTTCAAGTCATCATTGTTGATACTGATCATAACAAGCTCTGATGTATTTTTACCATTTTAAATTGAAAGAAAAAAGTTGGGATAACAGGAAGTGGGGTAGTACAGTGAGTAATACAATGTAGTGATGGTGATAACCAGTTACTATAACCAAAAACTAAGCTTTTTAGTTATTTTAATTCCATGGTTGTAAATGGTCATTTGTTTAGTGCTCTAATATGCAATGCAAAAATAACTAGCTTTGAAAAAGAAAAAAAAATAATAAAATTAACTGTCAATAAAAGGTACAGAACAATTGGTTTGCGCACAGGAGTGCCCTTCCCTCCTCACCAAGATCGATGGCACAAGAACCTACACCAACTCCCCCCTCCTCTCAAGATATTTTATTACTCATCTTAAAAACAGAGCAAGCTAAGGTAGAATTAATAAAATCGTAGATTATATAAAATTACACTTGCTACGGTATGTTCCATGCTTTTCCCCTTGCCTCTTAGTCCTAAAATTCATAACCCCATCAAAATATGCTCCCTTAAAAATTAAAAAACCCATAAAAATATGCCATCCCTCAAACATTTTTATGGCGCATGTTGCACCATGAAACCCCCTTCTGGGCAGCCCTGGGAGTCTGCTAACACCATCAGATCTCTTACGTCCACTTAAAGAGAATATCCAAAAGGAATGGCAGGACATATTGGATAAGAGTGCTCCAAACAAACTGAAATTTATAAAGGAAGATGTCAGACCTTGGAGTTCTTCTAGTAGCAACATTCAGAGAGAGGAAGTCGTCCTTGCCCAGCGGACATTCAAGAATTACACATCTCTACCTCATCACTCAAGTTGCAACACCTAGATGCCAGTATTACAATAGTGTCCTGTCTATAAGTCACATTGCCCAACATTTCCATAATTGCCTGTTTTATAGTCGTAAATTAAATGATTTAGAGCTATCACAAAACATATCAATAGTATTGGGAAACGAAACAATAGATTTGACAAAATAATATCATTTTTAATAAGAGTAAATTTGTTAACAGAATTATAATAATGATTTATATTTAACTTTTTCATTTATTTCATTTGTTTTCCTTTATATCTATTTTATTTATATATTTTTTATTTATTTTTTCTGCATTAAACCTAACAGCTAAATATTTTAATAATAATACTTTTACGGATAAGGCTTTTATGACCTAGATATTTTATGCCTCAAACATCAAAACAATCAACCAGGAAATATTTTTCCAACTCATTCATTATTATCAGAACCTTCTCACTCTTTTTTATTTAATTTTTTTTCTATTTTGTTGCGCTCCCTCAGGAGTCTTTTACTTTCTATAGTAAAACATTATTCAGAGCCCAACATTTATCTTGACCAACAATTGATTGTCTTTTCTGAAATTAAGATAGATAAAATTTTATATAATTGCAAAGTGAGCACTAAAAAAGAAGAAGAAGAAAAAAAAAGAGAAGGTTCTGACAATAGTGAATATGTTCTTGTACGAAAACATTTTCCAAAACCTTACCAATATAATTAAATGTGACAAATAAAACAAGCCACAAGAAAGTTTTAACAGCCAACGTTATCTGTACAACAAAAAAACTTATCAACAAAAGAAATAAAGTATTTTCTTACATTTCCTGTATTTCAGGAGTTTGTGTTTGGCTATAAATTTATTTATTCTATTATATCAGCTATATCCTGTTGATCCTGGGATCAGGAGATCTAGGGGTTCATTCAATTTCTACAAAGTGGAAATAACTAAGATAGAGGAACAGATCTGGTAGTTTAAGGTGAATCTTGGCAAATAAACTTTTTATTTTTCAGGTTTTAGCCGTCCCATTGATACCTGTACTTTCATTAACATTTGAGTTCTTTACTGCAACTTTTTTAACAAGAAGTGAATGGTGGTTGGCTTATTCCTGGGCTTTAATTGGTAAGAGAGGTATAACAACCTACATCTTGGCCATATTGATAGAATGATTTCAAAAATTAATTATAATGATTAAAGTATGCCAATACTACTAGACCAGTGAAGGAAGAATGTGTAGAATGCGTAAGCAGTTACATATGCAATTCTTTCCTAAACTTCTGGTGAGATGATCATCAAATGAGAGGAAAAACCCCAATTTTGAGTTTCAGCTTATATAACATTCCTTCAGATCGTCTAAGCTATTCATCAGAGAAAGAAATTCATTCAAAAGAAGTTATAGATACTTGAATTTTCTATTAGCATATATATGTATACATATTCAATTCATCTCCAACCAGTCCATATTTTAAAATTGTTCATATTTTCACAAAAAGTTTTTATTATGTTCTGGGCCCACAATGTTTGTTAGTTTATCTAACAATATTTGTGGGCATACTTTAAAGCCAGTTATTAAATAAAGTAGAGAAAATCATGTAACTCATTGTGTAAAATGAGGTTTATAACAGTATGTATTTAATGTAATGAACTAGAATATAATTATCATAACTTTTTACCAGCTATAAAACACAATATTTCAAGTAACATGCTTTTTCTCTGCTTTATTTAAAAACTGGCTTTAAAGTGTGGCCACACATATTATTAGACAAACAAACAAAAGTTGTGGACCAAGAATATGATAAAAACAACTTTATCTGAAAATGACCAAATGTAATGAAAACATTTAAAATAGCTGCAGCTGTAGAATGATTGGAGATTAATTGGCCCATTTCTGAATATTCTAATAGTGAATTTAAGTCTCTTCAATCTACTACCTATTTTAAATGAATTTCTATCGCTGATGAATAGCTTAGACCAGGGATTTGCAATCTACGGCCCACGGGCTGAGTTCGGCCCACGAAAGTTTCTTTAATTACAGGGTAACATTTTAAATAATACGAAATTTAGCAAATTGCTGACATACGAGGTTACTAAAACATTTATTACATTTTTTTTTCTCTCTTTTTGAAAGCTCATATTTATTGAACAAGATTTATTTTTTCATCAGAAGCCTTGAGTGGAAGTCTTAATGTGGCCTGTGTGTCAAAAAGTTTGAAGATCATGGCTTAGACGATAAGAAGGAATGTTTTATGAAAATGAGAGGTAAAATGTTTTTTTATCGAAAATTTCAACTTTTTGAGAACATATAGCTTGAAAATGGTTGAAAATTAGAAGAAGAAAAACTATAGAATAAAAGATTTAGATAATTTTATAAAATTTCATTTATTATTAGAAAATTTTGCTCTGTGACACATCATTTTTATGATATAAATGAAAACCCAAAAATTGGGACCTTTCCCTCTCTCCCACTCCCTCAGACCAAGAATTTTTGATACCTTCACACCCTAACATGTTTCTGAAGGGATGTCTTAGGTACCTACTCATGCACTCTACACTCCCTTTTGGGCCATTCATTGACTGGACTATGCCGATTGCTGTCTACATATGTTAGTGAGCTTTTAGTTTGAATCATATCGTCCCGATAATATTAGAAAAGCTTAAACATATTCAAATCAGTACATTTTTTTTTTAATTGAGACAGCTGTTCTGAGTTATTTTCTTTTAATTCCTATGAAAAATAAATAACACTGCAAAAGGCTGTAAGGACCATTCAATGAAAAATGAGGTTTTGAGCTTTTCTAGTCAAGGTTGTCCTGGTGCATATTTTGATCCCACAAAATGAAATCCACAATGTTTCATATCTTCTCGATGGGCTTTTGTAAAAACCCTAAAAACCCTAGTGCCTACAGGCCTCTGCCTCACCATTCAGTACCCATAAATGGCTTAGTTATAGTGCTATAATAACGTTTTTGGTTCGTTATATTGATTGTATTAACGAACAAATATTAATGCAATAATTTAATTATCCAAAAAAATTAAACAATTTGCTTTTTATTCATTATATTTTGGTTGTTTTAATTTTAACTCCCTATATTCTATACGAAGGTCATTTAAGAAGGCCTCTTTTGTAAAAATGATATAATTATAATAATAAAACTTAATTCAAAAATAATTTGCTGAATATCTTGATTTTTTTTATTTAACGTTTGTATACAATTTAACGCTTTACTTTGTCTATTTACTGATTCTTAGAGGTAATTTACACTGTATATACTTCCCCGGAAACAAGTCATATTAATACCACCTATTTAATAAACCACAATAATATACACCTAATCTGAACTACATATAATGAATAGTTGCTGCGTTGTTTAGTAAAATTCATATATCACTAATAAAAAATTAATTTTATTTTCTTTATTTTGTTCAGAAGATGATCCATATCATAAAAAAATAGGAAATTTTAATATTGAATGCATTATTCTCTCTGCACAAAGAAAGATGGAAAGGGCAAAACTATAAGTTCTTCTAGGTAACCGGAACTGATTGTTAGTATTTGGTCAGGGAAGTATAGACAATTTAAATTACCTCTAAGAATCAGTAAATATACAAAACAAAGTGTTAATTACAAACGTTAAATAAACAGTTCAAGATCTTCAGCTAAGTATTTTTGAATTAAGTTTTATTATTACAATTATATCATTTTTACAATAGAGGCCTTCTTAAACGACCTCCGTATAGAATAAAAATCAAATTGTTTAATTTTTCTGGACAATTAAATTATTTCATTAATATTTGTTCGGTAATTCAATCAATATAACTGTTGGTGCCAGGGGTACTTCAAAATTGAAGTACAATTCTTTCCCCGGTGCGTTTCCTCAATGGTGGGAAAATTCGAGAAAAATTAAAAAACGTTGGGTAAGAAGGAGAAAAAAAATTAGTGAATAATGAGACCTGTAAAACATTAGAGAAAAAAACAAATACATGCAAAGAAAATATTAAAAAATAGAAATATTCAATAAATCAAATAATGGAAAAATGTAAATCCCCTTTTGAATGCTCACAATTTATTGAGATAAAAAAAATCTAATTATGTACAAGAGTTAAATAAATATTGGTGTAAAATTGCGATAAAATAAAACATAATTATAATATGCAGAGAAAATAAACCAAATTAACCATTAATAGCCAACTCTAAACTTATAGTAACCAACTTCTAAAATTATAGTAAACCAAGGGAAAAAAAATGTCTGTGGTAACGGTGAGAGAAGAATATCCCAAATTGGAGGCTATATTTCCAAAGAGGTTAGTTACCTGAAGTTCAGCTGTCGATGGTGGGGGGATCGATATGCATATCGATGTGCTGATCGATGACTCGCGATGATACAGCTGGGACCTTCAAAATGGCGCAGGTGAGGTGACAATGAGCCTGGAACTTGGTGAAAATGGTGGGGGTAGACTTCTGCTCCATACGAAAGGTAGCTCCAGACTGGCTTAAGACTGCATCCCGACAGTACTATGGCATTATTTGTGTCTTAATCCCTAAGACTGGGTATTACTGCCGGGATGGTGTGTATACAAATGAGCGATAATACATCGCAAACGAAGGCAGATATAAACTATAATATAACTTTAATATATTTTAGGGACAATATTCCCTGGCCTATTACAAAAAAATAATAAATATTCATTCCATTATTCACACTAAAAAGGGGTAATGGTGAGAAAAAATAATAATTAAAAAAATAAAGAAATGAGCGTATGCGGCGTTAACATACCGCCCACCAAAATTTTATGAAATTTTTAGAGATCTCATTTAGGAGGTAGAGGAGATAGGAGAGAAAGGAACAAGAGAAGAGAGAGAACAGAAAGTGTCACGGGGTGAGAAACAATCCGCAGGATCGGAGTATGTAGGATGGTGAGGTGAGGTGGAGAGAACAAATTCGAAACGAGACACTTCTGTTGCCAACTAATAGCAAGTTACAGAACTATTGCCTAAAACACGAGTGAGGATGCATACGAGAAATCGAAACGATTAGTGTAACAACTATGGAACTGCATAAGGGAAGATAAGATGAGAAGGGTCCACGAACGAACTAGCGACTCGAGATTTTATCTGTAAGTTTGGAACGCTACATAAACAGCCGCCCACCCTGACCAAACCGACGGGTACGCAAAACGAATTTAATGTTGGGAACGATTTTAGATCATATAGCGATATATGACCGGTGAAGGGTTGACCATTAAAATAAGCGTTACGTGGTGTGCCGCCCACCCTGACCAAACCAAGGGGATCAACAAAGGTACTTAGGGATGGAAGCGACTTTTGGTCATAATGCGAATTATGACTGGTGGGAGAATGGCCATAATCTAACGAACCGTTTCCCGATGCGGATGTATCGATTGGAAACCGGTGCATTTTGGACGAACTGCCCCTTAAAACATTGCGGTGCGGTGTGAAGCGTCTTCCGGGTGGAGTGGTAGATGACACGGAGCATTCGGGGTGAGTGTGCGGAGCGGTTGCACTATGGAGAACAGTAGTGGAACGAGGTGTGGTTAGCGAATCTTGGTCGATAGGCGATGTAACATTCCTACACGAGCTGGAGTGAGAGGGTTTCGATGGCGAGACCGGAGAACGAGGAGCGGAAGATGAAGGAATCGGGGTAGGTGCACTTTTCGAACTTACACCATAACGACGTGGTGTGGATTTTGAACTGCGAGATTCAGTTTGCCGAGATTCCCGAGAGAAAAAGTGTAAGAGGGAGTGGTGTCTTTTATCACAGAGCCGACAAGATACGCGAGAGGTGCACTTATTCACGAAATGTCCGGAGGCCAAACAATTAATACATCGTTTGAGAGCTTTAGTACGATCGTGACGTTGTTGCGGGGTGAGGCTCTTGAAACGAGAGCAATCGTACACACGGTGAGGTGCTTTGCAAATGGGGCATTTAGTGGAGCTCTGTAAAGATTTGGTGGCCATCAAAACCTGCCTCGATGGTTTCTCACGTTTTGACTCGGGGTGCACTGTTTCGGAAGAGGTATTAACGAGAAGGGCCTCGGACTGCAATTTCACGGCGTGTCTCTGAACGAAGTCCGCAAATTCATCCCATGACGGAAGATCAGTTTTGGAGCCGCATTCCCTCTCGAAGCCTTCTCTGGTTTTGGCATCCAACGACCTAAGTGCCAAAGTGCTTAAAACGAAACCAGGAAGATCGTCTATACCCAACTTGAGAAGTGCCGATGCGCTTTCCAAAACGACCGACGAGAAAGTTTCCAAATTAGCGAGGTTACCCCCCCTAAGCGGATCGAAATTCAGGATTTTTGTAAGGTAGAACGTGGCTTGAATCCTCTTACTGTTATACCTTTTGTAGAGAGCGTCCCACGCTTGGGTATACCCTGAAGGGGATATAGAAATCGCGGAAATAACCTGCAACGCCGAACCCTTTAATGCGGATTTTAGATAATGAAATTTTTGGATGTTATCCAAATCATCCCTCTCGTGCACTAATGATTTAAACGTTTCTTTAAAATCTTGCCAGCTCGCGATATCTCCGGAAAAATGTGGGATGTTGATCTCTGGCAATTGTGGAAGCGAAAAGAGATCTTCCATGATCCTACGAGTAGGGGATTTATCAACGTTTGATTTAGGTGCGTCACTATTAATTTTATTTTTAAGAGACAATGCCTCGTAGTAAGAATCGCTTATCTCTTCTTTTAATATTTTATATTTGTCCCTCGAAACGTTCAATCTCCTCGCGAGAGAATTAATTTCACTAAAAATAAGCTCGAACCGCTCATATGTGGCATCGATACGAGAAACGCGAGCCAAAAACAAAGATTTACGCGAAGGATCGGTGGGTAGACTCAGCCCTACTACGGTGGTCGTCCTAATATCACTGGCCAAGTCGTCTAATTGATCTTCAAGATCGGCCAACTTCGCTTCTTGTTCCTCATTTGAAATTTTTGGAGGCATAGTGAAGAATAAAAAAACCACAAAACCGAATATTACACACAAAAAATATTAACGAGAGAGAGATTAAAAAATTAAACGTGAACGGAGCGATTTAAAGAGGTTTCGAAAACGAGAGATAAATAAAATACCACCAAATCAAATATTTAAAGAGAGAGAAAAAAACAAACACGTAAACAAAGCGATTCAAAAGATAAAACGAGTAATAAATAAAATACCACCAAACAAATTAAAGGGAGAAAAAAATTACACGTAAATGGAGACTTAGAGAGATAACGAAAACGAGAGATAATAAAAATTGCACCAAACAAATTAAAAAACGAGAGAAAAGAAATAATTACACGTAAACAGAGGGTTAGAGAGATTTTGAAAACGAGAGAAAAACAAATAACACTGTTTCCCAAAACGAAAATAATTTTACTCGAAAAAATAAAAATTTTGAGGAATAAAAAAAAATCGGAGGACCAAAATAAAGCGCTAGTAAATCCGGCCCGGATTGGACCAAAAGATGTTGGGGCCAGGGGTACTTCAAAATTGAAGTACAATTCTTTCCCCGGTGCGTTTCCTCAATGGTGGGAAAATTCGAGAAAAATTAAAAAACGTTGGGAAAGAAGGAGAAAAAAGATTAGTGAATAATGAGACCTATAAAACATTAGAGAAAAAAACAAATACATGCACAAGAAAATATTTTTAAATAGAAATATTCAATAAATCAAATAATGGAAAAATGAAAATCCCCTTTTGAATGCTCACAATTTATTGAGATAAAAAAAATCTAATTATGTACAAGAGTTAAATAAATATTGGTGTAAAATTGCGATAAAATAAAACATAATTATAATATGCAGAGAAAATAAACCAAATTAACCATTAATAGCCAAATATAAATAAAACCAACTTCTAAAATTATAGTAAACCAAGGGAAAAAAAATGTCTGTGGTAACGGTGAGAGAAGAATATCCCAAATTGGAGGCTATATTTCCAAAGAGGTTAGTTACCTGAAGTTCAGCTGTCGATGGTGGGGGGATCGATATGCATATCGATGTGCTGATCGATGACTCGCGATGATACAGCTGGGACCTTCAAAATGGCGCAGGTGAGGTGACAATGAGCCTGGAACTTGGTGAAAATGGTGGGGGTAGACTTCTGCTCCATACGAAAGGTAGCTCCAGACTGCTTAAGACTGCATCCCGACAGTACTATGGCATTATTTGTGTCTTAATCCCTAAGACTGGGTATTACTGCCGGGCTGGTGTGTATACAAATGAGCGATAATACATCGCAAACGAAGGCAGATATAAACTATAATATATATTTTTAGGGACAATATTCCCTGGCCTATTACAAAAAAATAATAAATATTCATTCCATTATTCACACTAAAAAGGGGTAATGGTGAGAAAAAATAATAATTAAAAAAATAAAGAAATGAGCGTATGCGGCGTTAACAATAACGTACCAAAAACGTTATTATAGTGCTATAACTAAGGCATTTATGAGTACTGAATGGTGTGGTTGAGGCCTGTAGGCACCTAAGCCAGTATCACTTTTCTGCTGCTTATGTGCATTTTCTATGGAACTGCTTCAAATATTAACCATAAACAATTGTTTAATTTTTGTTCAAAGTAATGTTTTAAAAGACATTTAAATTTTCGTTTGTTACGTATTCATCATCATTTAAGATAAAATATATAAGAGTTGTTTCAACCTAAGTTTGAATTTTGATAATAAATAAAGAAGTATACTTTTTAGGATTGAATTAAAAATGTTAAGATTGTAAAATACAAAAACCGGGAAAAGTTAATAATTAATATTATGTATTATGTCATATACTGTAAATATATGACCACAATAATTAGCATGAAAGTCAAAAAAGGTGCTGTCGTGCTGTAAACTGAAAAGTAGTGATTCATAATAGGCTCAAATATTTCAAGAATTATAAAAAATAAAAAAATCATAATAGACAGAGGTATATGGGGCAGACCCAAGCTGTAAGATATCTACAAGCCAGTTTTTAGCTAGTCTAGCCAAAAGTAAATTATCAAAAATAAAAATAATAAGGTGGATTACTAAATGCATTACATTGAGTTCTGTTGTTAAATGGAGAAATGATTAAACAAAGTTATTTAATTTCTAACAACGATTTTCTCTCCCTTTGCTGGAAATGCTTGACAGAAATGAATTTTAATGTAAAAACAACATAGGTTATTCTACCTATGACAACACTGGGAGGAAGATAATAATTTAGATAAAATAATTATATTTTGCAATATCTTTTGTTATGAAAACATCTTATAAATGTGTATTTTCAGGAATAATCTTTTATTTCATCTATTCCATCTTTAATTCAGAAAAAAACGAATTCACTGATTCCACAGGAAATAAATGGAATCCATATGAAAAAAAAAGAACAAGTAAAGAGATATATTTAATTGAATCGGAAACATATGAGACTAATGGAAAGACCCCTGAGGAGCAACTTCAAAGATTAGGTTTAAGTCCCTATTACCAAGCTGAATGCTTTAATAATCACCCTTCCAAGTCGAGCATTGAAAATTTCACAAAAACTGAACAGATACTTAAACAGGAGATGAAGGAAATGCAAATGTAATGAAGGCCAACAAAGATTCAAAACAGTAATTAAAAGAAAAAGAAAGATAATGAACACTATTTCATGAACAAAATCTTACATAAGATTCATATAGTGACATTAAAGGTGAACTTAAATATTTACTTACAAGAATAAACTATTATGAATATAATCTTTACTGTTTTCAAACAAATTTGTTGTTAATTTAATTTATGTCAAACCTTTTTAAAATTACTTTATATCAAGTGATTCATTGTCACCCTTTCTTGATTATTCAGTCCAGGTTCCTCCACCTGTGTTTATATTCAGTATGCATCATAAAATCCTCAACAATTTTTAGTTCTTGTCAGGAAGATTTTTTAGAAAATTTATAATATTAAAAAAAAACATATGAAATATTTTAAATTTCGCTTGATTATATAAAAAAAAAGTAATACAATTTATCTATTTTTTCTACTTTATTAAGTAACTGGATTCCAAGTGTTCCAAGTGGCTTATTATTATTATTATATTATTAGACAAACGAACAAAAGTTAAACCAAAAACGTTATTATAACCCTATAACTATGCCATTTATGAGTACTGAAGAAGAAGACATTAAGCGCTTACAGGAGGACCGCTTTTTCCGCCTATTATGTTCATTTTCTAAGGAACTGTTTAAAATATTTTAAATCTTAATCACCGATTTAAAAGGATAAATCTATTGTCCAGATGTTTTATTGTAGGACATTTTTCTTTATTGTGGCTGTTTATTTACAAACGACGCTTGATTTTCAACATTAATTTGAAGGAATTGAATAAATCGACTTTACCAGTGTTTTTATTGCCTAAACCAATTACTTTTTAATATTTATACATATTTTACTATTTTCTAACTATTCAGTTTTAACAAAATGCCAATTGTGACAAAATTAAATCAAATGCTGAATCTCAGTGACCAAAAAGTAACTCAAGTCAAAGTTACCAATCTGCCATGTTGGACGCCATTTTGGGACTGTGCGTTCACTTTTTTCTGTGGGACAATTGGGGATTTTTTTAAATAAATAGTTGCAAAGAACACAACGATATGAATTTTAAAGGGATGTGGGGAGTTTATGATAAGGGATTCTGGTCCACCGTTTACCACTACTACTAATAGCCCTGGAGCCAGAACCATAAAACGGACCTCATCGCAGGCGAAGTTTGAATGTAAATTATGGAAGTGTATAACAGTTTATCTAACAAGCTTTACCTGCCATTCCAAAGTCCCTGCTTGCCGGTAGAGGGAGGTTGCAACAATGAAACAGTTGTAATAATAATTACATATTGAAAATAGATTAATTGAAAAAATACCAATAAAATATTATGATTACTTCTTCAGTTTATTTCGCAAAAATACTTCTCTTGGAACCCTGCCTGTTACAAACTGTACTAAATAAATACATCTAGTAATAATAATAATAATAAGGACGTGAAAACATTTGTTCAGAAATTTTGTTGTTTCTATGCCGCAGTCATTGGTCATTCGAACATCCGACATCTTGCTGCCCAGTATAAGTTTGATTGTTTTATATATTCATTCACAAATGTTTTATTTCTTATGTCCATCAAAGCAGGACATGTGTCTAAGTGGTCTGCATCCATTTTTGCTTGTTCACATAACTTACACCTAGGATCCTCAGCCAAGCCTATCTTTTGGAGATGACTTTGTAGATGGTCGCGACCAGTGGCCAGGCGGAAGCAGGCTACTGCATCTCTTCTTGGTAGATCAGGTGGGAACGGGTTTTCCACCAAACATCCAGAACGTCTAACTTCCACCTTGTCTTTGAGTACATTTTTTGTTTCCTCCTTCACTACCAACCTCACCATTTGTCGAATTGAATCGTAAGATTTTGGATGGACCGTTTGAGGCAATTCTGCTCCTCTCCTGGCGAGACTATCAGCTTCCTCATTTGGACACATTGGTGCTCGTAGAGAAGGGATTTGCACGCCAAGACAGCACTCGACAGACATTAATTCACGTAAATAATAGCGAGGATTGCTGCTTGCGAGTAGACAAAGAGAACGGCGCTCTGAACTTGCCTCCCTGATAATGTTTTTAGGGCTATGAATCACCCACTGCTCATATATAAAAATTAAAAAATAAAAACTTTTCTCACATTTTTCGCATTGAATTTTCCGTTTCGATCCTGAAATTACTGCACTAATATTCTTTAAATTAGCCGCCATTTATAAAACCAGCGGCTCTGGGATGGCATACATGGTTCTTTTTACTCAAAGCAATACACAATTTCGAAATTTAAAATAAAACCTTCGCCTGCGATGAGGTCGATTTTTGGACCCTGGCTCCAGGGCTAATAGGCATACTTTTTCTTTTTTCCTTCTTTATTCAATAATCAAATTTTTTCAAATGTTATATTTAGCCATTTTTTCATAACTCTTAACAATGAAAAATAGTTAATTATTTAAAATAAACCAAATTAAAGGTGCTATAGAGCACTAGCGGATCCAGGATTTAATTTTGGGGGGGAGCTTCAGCCCGAAAGCTTTTTTTTTTTATAAAAATGACGATAATTACTTTGGAAAAAAAGAAAGAAACTAACTATCTATATTAAATGGTGTTTAAGTGATTCCTTAAGTCCTTTTAAAAGTAATTACACGAATAATATTATTTTAAGAGATAATTTTTTAATATACATAATATATAACATATAATATATAACCATAAAACATGGTTATATTTTACCATTTTGGGGGGGGAGGGGCTTCAGTCCGAAAGCCCCCCTCCCCCGTAGATCCGCCCTTGCTTTAGAGGAAGACAATTTGAACATCTGGTATTTAAGCCTTGTTAAGTGACATCAATAGAGATAAGACCTAAATGATGTTAGAGGTGTATAAAGATGTATAATTACTTAATTATACATTGATACACTGAGTTTAACTAAATCGTTAGAGCCATTTTCGAGAAAATCGTAAAAATGTGTTACATAGATGATATAAAGTTCCATTTCCGGTTAGCCGATTTTTACGAAAAAGTTGCTGCAACATCTGAAGCATATAAAAACATTAAATACGCAATATCAGTTACGTAAGACTTTTCGTTTTTGAGCTTGACTATTCACATAAACCACGGGCGGATCTACGGGGGGGGGGGCTTTCGGGCTGAAGCCCCCCCTCCCAAAATGGTAAAATATAACCAAGTTTTATGGAAAAATATATTAAAAAATTATATCTTAAAGTATTATTTTTCGTGTAATTACATTTTAAAGGACTTAAGGAATCACTTAAACACCATTTCATATAGATATTTAGTATCTTTCTTTTTTTGCAAAGTAATTATCGTTATTTTTATGAAAAAAAAAGCTTTCGGGCTGAAGCCCCCCTCCAAAATTAAATTCTGGATCCGCTAGTGACATAAATACACACAGACCATATTGTGAGACTTCGTAATTTCGACTCAGTGGACCTCAAAAAGTGTTTTTCCGTTGAAATCTCGGATTCGAAAGTTTTCATGATTGCAATACTTTTATATTTGCAATACTTACTGTTTATTTCATATATTGGTAAGTTGGTGGATTAAAAAATATTAAAATAAAGGTTTATAGAGTAACATTAAAATTATGTTAGATAAAACAACTATACATTTATAAAGACAAACGCTCTAACCTTCCAATCAATTATAAAAGACTGATTTACATGACTATAATAAGGCCTATTTGGACTTACGGGGTTGAGCTATGGGGCTACGTTAAATCCTCAATGCTCCTTACTTTGTTACAAATAAAATTATCCATAATGACCTTAATGTTCCTTATGTATCAGATTTGGCCCAATCCAGATATCTGTCCTTCCATAATAAACTTCATAACCATCCCAACCCTCTTATCTCTAACCTTGCTTCATATTCGATTCCTGATAACCCTCCGAGGCGTCTGAAAAGAAGATGGCCACGTGATCTTCTAATATAGACATATTATTAGAGTGCTACCAATGGGTAGTTTCTCAACATGTGTTCCATGTCTTTATACCAATGTGCAAATTTACTAGATGTATTTTTTGTATACAGTTGTAAATATCATTTAAAATAAATAAAAAAAACATTTATAAATGTTTATTAAAGGGCATATACATATTTACAACCATATGAGTACATAAATTCATAATATATATATATATATATATATATATATATATATATATATATATATATATTAACATAATGTCTTAAGAAATCTGTTATAAGTTGCAACAGATGTTTTAGCTTTGGTACAGAAATATTGATCTGTCCCAGCTACCGATAGTGGACAGATATATCCAGGTTTGCTAGGATCAAAGATGACTTTACCAATGTTTTTTAGGAACACGTGCCTCTCTTTGAGGCAGAAAAAGTAATATATTTTTCACTTATTGAGCAGGGAGCAACCAATTTGTGCAAATGGCAGTAGTCAAAACTTACAAAATAAAAAAAGGTGCAACAAAATCGATCAACTAGTTTCCGAAATAATCTTGGAACAGACAGACAGTCCAATGGCTGAAAATTTGTTTTTCAGACTCGGGGACCTCTAAAACGTATAGACCCGTCGAAAACAGCACATTGAAAATTTGACCCCATTGCAATGATTTCTTTACCTTTCTTTCGGCTTTCGGAACCCCCTCCTCCCCCCCCAAAAATGGTAAAATATAATCATGTTTTACAGAAAAAAATATTAAAAACTATCTCTTAAAGTATTCTTGTTCGTTTAATTATATTTAATAGGACTTCAAGAACCACTTAAACACCATTTCATATAGGTAGTTAATTTATTTTTCTTTTTTTTTCAAATTAATTATCGTTATATGTATATGAAAAAAATCTTCCAGGCTGAAGCTCCCCCCCAAACTAAATCCTGGATCCGCAAGTGATAGGTAGGAAAGTAAATTATTAGGAAAGCGAAGTAAAAAATTAAGAAGTGAAAACAAATATCAAGAAAATACTAATTTATTGTTTAAATATAAAAATTTAAATTAAAATTAAATATTACCAACTTTTTATACCTTAATAGTTTGTATTATTTATTAATAAATAAATATACATAATTAGTAGATTGGCATCCTGTAAT